AAAAAATTAAATAAAATAAATCAAAAATAGAATTACCGCTGAGTGAAGTAAGTCAATTGGAGAAGGACAAACATTATATGTTCTCATTCATTTGGGGAATATAAGTAATAGTGAAAGGGAATATAAGGGAAGGGAGAAGAAATGTGTGGGAAATATCAGAAAGGGAGACAGAATATAAAGACTCCTAACTCTGGGAAACGAACTAGGGGTGGTGGAAGGGGAGGAGGGTGGGGGGTGGGGGTGAATGGGTGACGGGCACTGGGGGGGGCACTTAACAGGATGAGCACTGGGTGTTATTCTGTATGTTGGTAAATTGAACACCAATAAAAAATAAATTTATTAAAAAAAAAAAAAAAGAATTACCATATGATCCAGTAATTCCCCTACTGGGTACTTACCCAAAGAATACAAAAACTAATTTGAAAAGATATATGCACCCCTATGTTTATTGCAGCATTATTTAGGATAGCCAAATTATAGAAGGGACCCAAGCGTCCATCCATAGATGGGATGGATAAAGAAGATAAGGTACATACAAAGAGCCACACACAACAAAGAATGAAATCTTGCCATTCACAACAACGTGGATGGACCTAAAGGGTATGGTTCTAAGTACAATGTCAGAGAAAGACTAATACAGTATGATTTTACTCATATGTGGAATTTAAGAAACAAACAAAGAAGAAAGAGACAAAAAACAGATTCTTAACTATAGAAAACAAACCAAAGGTCACCAGAGGGGAGGGGCTTGGGGGGATGGGGGAAATAGGTGAAGGGGATTAAGAGGACAGTGATAGTGATAAGCACTGAATAATGTATAGAATTGCTGAAGAATTGCTGAATCACTATATTGCACACTCAAAACTAATATAATGTTTGTTAACTATACTTGAATTATTTTAAATGAATAAATAAATAACTTAAAACAAACTTGAACTTAAATGACTTTTGCTAGTTCTTTACCGAAATTCTAACACTCTATTAAAAAGGAAAAGGAAAAAAAAAAAATAAAATAAAATAAAATAAAATAAAAAATAAAAAGGAAAAGGAAGTTAAAAAACTTAAAAAAAATAAAGACTAGAGGGTAAACAAAGCCTTACTTGACAGTCAAACTCTACTGAAAAGAAAGGGAACAGAAGCCATTAAAGCAAGGAAAGAATTTTTCATTCTGACATGAAAACTGAAGACAGAAGTTGTGGAAACTTCGTCCTTAACATGTAGAAAAGATATTACATTCTCAAGCGTCCTTCCAAATGATACGAATTTAGTACATAAATTCTTCTGGAAGATACAGAGGGATCAAAACAAACAAAGGCTGATGCAGGGTATAGTGACAAGAGTTGTCCCGGATTCTTTCAAGAAAAATCTTAAAGACTCTTCTGGGGTCATAACAACATTAACTCTACATAAAGACCAGAACAAGAGTAGATAACATACATGAATATTCTCATGGATACAGCTAGGATAATCTATGAATATTCTGACAACTTTAGTATTTCAAAAGCTTTAAGGTAACAATAACCAGCAACCCTCCAAAAGCTAAAGCAAAATTGTTATTCCTTGGGGTGGACAACACAGAAGTGCTTCCCAAAGAAAGAGGGTTGCCCTATTATTGATACAAACTTTTCTCCTACTAAACTAAAAGTCTTACTATTGCCAGACACTCTGCCAAACACTGTACATGGATTTGCTCATCTATTTTCACAATCATTACATGTGATCAGTACTATCATTAGTCCCATTTTAGAGAAATTAAGTAACTTGACCAAAGTGACATCGCTAATAAGTAAAGTGCTGAGCCAGGATTTGAACCTAAGCAGGCTGGATGCAGAGCCTGAATTCTTTTTTTTTTTTTTTAACTTTTTTTTCTTTTTAAGATTTTATTTATTTATTCACGAGGGACACAGAGAGAGGCAGAGACACAGGCAGAGGCGGGACTCGATCCTGGGATTCCGGGATCCCGTCCTGGGCTGAAGGCGGCGCCAAACCATTGAGCCACCCGGGCTGCCCCAGAGCCTGAATTCTTAACCTATAAACAGTATAACAGTATTGCATTTAATATTCCCCAACAATCCCATGAGGTAAGGTATTATTATTATCCATGTCTCACAGGGATAGAACTAAGGCTCAAAGCACAAGGTCTACTGATTGAGCCAGGATTCAATTCAAATCCAAATCCAAACCAGGCACTAACTGTTCTCTCTGTGTGTGTTTGTGTCTGTCTCTCTCTCATTTAACCAATATTTTGTAACATCCACCCTGTACCAGGCACTATTATCATATCATTACAAGGTATAAGAGATATAAAGATGACTAAGATGGCTCTTTCTGTCAAGAAGCTCACATCCAGAAAAAGAGCCTAGAGCCTGCCTCTCTGAAGTGTGGTCCCTGGATCAACAACATGGGCATAACATACATGAATATGAATCTCAGGCCCTGAAATAGAATCTCAGGCCCCATCGCAGACCTCCCGAACCAGAATCTGCATTTTAACAAGGCTTCCAGGTGTTGAGTATGCACATTAAAATGTCAGCAGTACTGGTCCCATGGACATTTTGAAAGGTTTTGCTGTTTCAGGTAGAGATTTCTATGACTACAACCCCAAAATTAGGGCATGAAATAAAACTGAACTGGAATAAGGGCAGGAGTTCTAATACCCGGATGACTCTACTCTATTTTTAACTAAACTTAAAAAGATGACTCTTACAGTACCCTAGTGGGGGAGTTCTCAGGCAAAGCCATCAGTTACATGCCATGTAAGCGGAGATCAATATTTGCTTTCCACATTCTCTCTAGCTTTGCAAAAAGAGGGACCGTGACCCCAAAAGTTCACTGCTTTGGCAGATGGCCCTCTTAGATTCCTATAACTGAGCCTACTTTCCTCACTCCCATGTGAAAACGCCACAAGAAGAGTGAGAGGTATTTAGGTGTAGCTTTTGCAGGAATCATGATGGGGATCTTTTGTTTCTTTCATTGGCCTCTTTTGGCTTCATGTTGCCATATGCTGTTTTTAATTTGAATTGTCCTGGAGCCAGAAAGGAAGCAAGATTCATGAACTATGTCAGTGAAAGAGAGGACATAAAATAAAGAAAGAAATGCATCACACTGTATTTGCAGTAGCAGAACCAGATTCCACAAAGCAAGTGGTCAACACCCGCCAGCTCTCCCGCTGTACCCACTTACTGCTTTAATCACAGTCTGTGAGGAAGTGAGCTCAGGCAAGGTGCCCAAGCCATGGGCGAGAATGGGTGCTTCCAGATATTGCAAGCTGGAATCTCCTCAACAACTTAATATTTTTAGTTTACTAAGTACAACTTTTAAAGATCAAGTTCAGATTCTAAACTGAACATTACAATGACTCATTTTAAGGTCCTTACAGTTTGCACTGCTTGGGCAATCAATGAAGCTTCATTATAAAACTAAAATGCCTTGTGAAATGGTTGGACTCCCATCCACTGCTAAGTGGAGGTCAGTAGTGACTGCAGAACACTCCGGGTGTACGCAGCTTAAAATAGCATTGGTATTTTAATAAAACTGGAAAAGACTACCCTTTTTTCATTAATGCCCCAATAGTTGGAGGCAGCAGGATAGAGCAGAAAGACGGGGATTTCTGACAGAACCTGTGTGCACTCTTGGGCAGGTTATTTTATTTCTCTGAGTCTCAGCGTCCTGATTTGTAAAATGCATTTTAAATTTTTCCTTATTTGCAAAAGAATGTTATAAGGAAAAATGGCAATATATGCAAAAAATACTTGGCACTCAAGAAATGGTAGTTATTATTGATAATTACTCAGAAAAAGTCCAAGAAGCAAATTTAATTCCAACAGTAAGATATGTCACAACCCAGTGAATGGTACTTGGATGATAATGAGGAAGTGTCTGGGTTGCACACTTAACCTCTGAGGACATTTAGGGAAGAGAAAAGGGAGAAGCAGGGCTGGAACTTTTGAGTTTGTGATGACCACAGCTAAGGGCTCAGTAGGCCTTCCAATTGCACACCATATTAAAACATAGAGCAGATTTCCAGAAACAATTTCCACAAAGATGCCTGGTTAGCTGTTGTAGGTTTTCATCTTTTTCCATCCCATTTCCGTCTGATCACCCCCCAAATATGTACATCTCTGGAATGTTCTAGTAAGTGGTCCTGTCTATTCCACTCTCTTCCCCTGGAGGGGGAGGCTTTTAGGAGGCTACATGCTTTAAACAGACCACATCACTGAGTCCCAAGCTAGAGAGCTTCCTGTGAAATGATCCACAGACACTGGCTATAAAATCAGCATGTCAGAGAATGGCCCAGATCACTTAAAAAAGAGGGAAAAAAAGACATCAGTCCTTCTCTTCTAACTTAAGAAACACAAGACCCAAGAGTTGCAAGGACCTGCTGAGGTCATGACTGGGGCTGAGAGCTTTTGGGGCAGACTCTTCCCACCTGCCTCCCATCTACCTCCTCCCACTCATGCTCTCTTCTCTTTCTGTTTCATGTACTAATTCCCTACTACAGTTTCTCAGAGAACTACTGGGGCTCAACTATTATTATTACTATTTAAAATCTGTGATAGACATCATGCTTGTAAAGCTGTATTTGCAGTTTTAAAATGGGATCATTGGCAAATGGGATGTTGACTGTTAGTAAAAATGTGGGTGAGGGCAGATGACTGTAGTACATGCTCAGATATGAGATGCAGCAAAATTCTAGCAGCCTGTCTGATTCACAAGCATAGAGCTTTTGAAAAGTTAGGTCTGGTTGGGGTCCAGTGTATTTATATATTTTTATTAGACTCAATTGAAACATTTGAAAGGATGAATAAATTACTTTCCTATTTGCTTCATTTGCTATTGCAGACTTTGCCCAACAGATGTCACATAAGAAATTCAAATTACGTCTTCAAATGGAGCATAACTTTAGTAATGAATAATTCAGGAGAATAACCTAACACCAGAATAATATTTTAGAGACATTTCTTTCATAGGGTTGAGAGCGTTAGCTGAAAAATACTCACCTATTTATCTGACCATTTTCTACTTCGGTGAAATCATTGGAATCGTTGCTAATGTTATCATCCTCGGGCACTGTCATGTTCTGCAACTCAGTTAATTCGAGTCCACTTTTGAAATGCATCATGTTTAGAAAGTAGTATCGATAGTCAAAAAAATTAGTCCAAATTCTGCTCTGAGTGTATGACAAATGGATAGCAGCAAAAATATAAGCTTGACACCCCTAAAATACAACACAATAAAAAATAAGCATATGAATATCACTACTGATTAAACTGTGACAAGTAAACAATAGTCAACTTACTGATAACTTATACATTTTGCTCTTCAATGCGTTTGAGCAGTCTTTGTACATCAAGTTATAGAGGCTTATCTCTAAATTTTATGCCTGTCATAACTCTCCCCTCTTTATAACTACAAAATGAGTCCTGTCCCATAATTTTCCCGTTCACATTTATAGGAATACCAAGTCAACTGCAGGCATTATAGATGCCTTTTATGAAACTGTTTAAAAGGAAAGGGATGCAGTTATTTTAATGCATCCCATCACAGGGCACACATATAGTGGGTGCAGACTACACAGACACAAAAGCACCTCCGATCTAGCAATCCTCGTTTAATAAAAATGCGAATCCTCAATAAATGGCATCATGAGGGATCAACTACCCAACCTGGAGGTCAAGCAGCAAAGGACAAACCTGTGTTTTGAAATTTAGCAAACACTTTATCCATCAACTGCAAGAGATTAAATCAATCTCTTCCATGAAATCACTCCATGTCAGGGAATTAGGGAATTAAAAACTCATACTCAGGGGATTTAGGTTAATCTACCTAAAACTGTATTTCCTCTCCAGAAACAAAAGACTTGTAGAGTTCCTAGTCTGCCCTACATGGATGACTGGGACTTACATTTTGACGGCATATAAGGGGAAAAAGAGCTTCAGACACATCACAAATTAAGCAGGTGGCAACCAAAAAGAGCTAGATGTGACCTGAAAAGTAAGGCCTATGTATACACAGGAGCCTCACCAGGGTCATCTCGGTGAGGTGATGGACACCAGGGAATGAAGCAGAAAAACAAGAAAGTTTGTGTTTTTTTTTTTTTCTTTTTACCACCAAAGGCAAACCCCTTTGGATGATACTTTGTCTGATCCTGAATTTCATAAGCTGACTATAGCCTACTTAAGAGTCAAAACCCTAATGTGCCCAGGTAAGCATCCCGGTACATCCCAACCAGTATTTTGCTAATTGACAAAATTTTCAGGACCCGTAGAAAATACCTCAGAATGATTATTTTTTTAAGACTGTTCACTTTCCCACAACCAAGGCACACAGTATTCCTTTTTGTTCATACCGACTCCTATCTAGCATGAAATTCCCTTGGTTCCAGGATCCTTTACAACTTCCAACAGGGAGACTCACCTCAGTGCTGGTGACCTCTGTTCCCCTTTACACCTGTCCTCTTGAGTCTGGACCCCCAAATGAGGGGATGGGGAAAACCCTAGAAACCAGGCATGGACGAGACTGGAGACAAAGCCAATGAAAATACATTTTAAACCTGCGCACTGGCGTGCTAGACTGCCCCTGCCTTTTGGGGCCAGGATAGGTGGACCTTGCAGTGGGGGCCTGGAGCTTCCTACCACACCCCCAGGGAGAGGGAGCCATTGCTGTCCCCTGCTGGTGAAGACATTCTCACTGCCCACTGGGGAAGATAGGCTTAAAAAAAAAAAAAAAAAAAAACACTTCCTAATACTTCAGGTCCTGGGAGCTCCACTTCCCTGCAGGCAGGGCCTCTCCTGGAGAGCAGGAGGCCAGGGCAGGGAGGGTCAAGCCCCACGTCTCCCTGGGTGGTGTGGGAGATCTCCCTAGGCTGATTCTCTAGCTGGAATGGTAGTACTAGCAACTAGGCCCATCTCTAATTGTTTTTAGTGCCTTCACACAGCAGCAGCATTTACAACCTCTTTATAAACGTTGCAGTGTGTTAATACGCACTCTTGTTGGCCGCCTTAATGAAAGCCACACAGATGGGCTAGACTGGGTGATTTCCAGGAGCCCTGCCACAAGGTCTCTCTTCTGTATCACTTCCCTTGGAGTCTGAAGTGATACTGAAGTGATACTGCGGGGCTCGTAGAAAGTTGATTCAGTGGGTGGTGTTTGCAATTTGGGCTGAGTCTTTTCCTCTGACAGATCAGGAAGAAAGAGGGCGCTGGACAAAAATTTTCTGAGAGGAGAAAAAGTTGACTAATAATAGATCTGGAGTCTACTGTTTGAATTTAAACTTTCATATCAATATACATGTGTATGTGTGTGTGTACAAATAACATATATATAGATAGATAGATGGTCAATTAAATAAATGGATTAAAAAAAAAGCAAAAGCATCATAAAAAGGAAGTCCTGGCCACTAAGATGATGTCAGTATAAAGCAAATGCCGGTACTAAGTTAATCACACAGAATAAATGTTTTTTTCTTTGGCTTACACAGAAAAGAATTTTTCACAGTCAAGGAGCCTAGAAGTCCAAGATCAGGGAGTCAGCAAGTTTTGTTTCTTCTGAGGCCTATGGTCCACAGCTTGTGGATAGCGCTGCTTCTCTCTGTTCTCAATGGTCTTTCTGCTGCCTGTGTGTTCTCTGTGTCCTAATCTTTTTTTTTAATAAATTTTTTAAAATTTTATGTATTTATTCATGAGAGACAGAGAGAGAGAGAGAGAGAGAGAGGCAGAGGCACAGGCAGAGGGAGAAGCAGGCTCCATGCAGGGAGCCTGACGTGGGACTCGATCCCGGGACTCCAGGATCATGCCCTGAGCTGAAGGTGGTGCTAAACCGCTGAGCCACCTGGGCTCCCCAAGAATAAATTTTTATTGTTACGAAATAACCTAGCTGAAATCTAACTCGTTCTTGAAAATGAAAACTGCAAAACTGGGTAAATTAACAAAGTTAGTGACACCTCTCACCAAGGCTGAGGCCACACATAGAAATTCCTCACTGTTCAATTTATCATCTATTTACTGAGGCTCGATGATGAAGGGATTTCAAAGTTTGAGAAAGGTCAAATTCAGGAATCTGAGGCAGCTTCAAAGAAAAGTCACATTTGGACCAGCCCTTGAAAAAGACATTTTTTTTCTTATTCTAAAACTAATACATACACACCAGGAAGTCTTCAGAACCACGCCTTGCAAAAGAGATCCCACCACCCAAAACTGGGCCACTATTAGACTATGGTATACTTCCTCTCCCCTCTCCTTCTTTTTTCTTCATTTTCCTTTCCTGATTTTTCTTTCTCCCTCTCTAGTTCCTTCTCCCCCCCACCTTTTTTTTAACATTGGAATTTTAGATTGTTTTTAACCTACTTTTCTTCATGTTGCATTACCTTATAAGCATTTTGGAGAACAGGTATCTTTTCTAAAACCACATTAGTTCGTTATTAATAAAGAATATAGGCTTTGGTAGAAAAATTAGAAGAAACATGCATGCAAAGGAAGGGGGGGGCAAGTAAACAGAAAAAAGTCACCTGTTATGTCAGCAAACAGAGATGATCACTGTGTATATACTGGAGTATGACCTTCCGGGGCTCTTCTGTGCACATAGATATGGTGCCGAGCACACAGTAGGCACTCAATAAGTATCTGTGAAATGAAAAGAGTACTATAAAAAAATAGGTCTACATTTACAAAAATGGAAAGCATATCATACAGTCTCGAAAACATTTCATTTTTTCGTTTAACAAGATACGATCTCCTCTCCTGAGTTAGGTTGAGATAGTGAACACGGGGCTACACCATTGCTGCAAATGCTTGCTTATCTGCTGGACTGTGCTATAAGCTGACATCCAGCCCTTTCCATCTGGACAGCCACACTGCTTGGCAGACAAGTGACTGGGGGCGGGGGGGGGGGGGCTGAGCTGAGATTTCTCAATGAAGGAGAACATGGTCAACAGCACAGGCAGGAAATGCAGGCTGAGTTCAAGAAGCAAAGAATGAGAGCTTCACTGAAATTACCGAGGCGATTATCAGACAACAGAATTAATTAAAAGGCCTACCAGCGTTATTGTGTGAAGATCTTGATGTTAGCCCAACCATAATTACAATCTCTCAACATTTATAATAGGTTGCAAATTAAAGTTTTTTTTAAATATTTATTTATTTATTTATTTATTTATTTATTTATTTATTTATTTATTAATGATAGAGAGAAAGAGAGGCAGAGACACAGGAGGAGGGAGAAGTAGGCTCCATCCTGGGAGCCCGACGCGGGACTTGATTCCAGGACTCCAGGATCGCGCCCTGGGCCATAGGCAGGCGCTAAACCACTGAGCCACCCAGGGATCCCCTGCAAATTAAAGTTTAATCGGCACAGAATATCTTTGGTCCTTTACCACAATCTCGTGAGGTACTCTTGAGCAAACATTATGTCAGTATGCCTATTGGTATACTTTACCAATAGTAAAATTAGACCAACGTGAAATACGTAAGTCTCTACTCTTCATGGCATTACATATCAAAGAAGATATACAGAGAAACTCGTCTGGCCTTACATTGCTTAAGCCCTATATAAGCGAGCAGGACTATCCCATATAAGGTGACAGCATACCATAAAATATCTGCTAACTCTATGACAGAGCAAAGAATAAATCCAGAGATTTCAGAGATATGCATGCCTACAGGTGTACAGAAGGAAGGAAGGAGGGAGGGAGGAGGGAAGGAAGGAAGGAAGGAAGGAAGGAAGGAAGGAAGGAAGGAAGGAAGGAAAAAATAGGGCCTGGAGAAATCAGCAGAGTTTACAAAGTTAGGCCTTGAGCCGTATCTAAAAACAAGGAGACTTAGATGGGGGATTGGGAAGGCGTTACTTGTACTGGGAACAGCACATGCCAAATGTACACAGAACAGCCTTACACGACCATTCAGATGAACCTAGCTAGAGCAGAGGGAGCAAGGGACATGTTCTTGAGGAACAGAAGTTTTATAGGTTTGGTAAAAGCTGATTAAAAGACTGTAGGGGGGATGCCTGGGTGGCTCAACTGGTTAAGCATCCAACTCCTGATCTCAACTCAGGTCTTGATCTCAGGGTTGTGAGCTCAAGCTCCACACTGGGTTCCACATTGGGCATGGATCCTACTTAAAACTAAACAAAATAAAATAAGATAAAATAAAATACTGTATAGGGAAAGCCAAACTATAAAGAATATATTGTAACTCGATGTCAAAAATCACTTCTTGGATGTGGTCTATGTATACAATGGAATATTCCTCAGTCATTAGAAACGACAAATACCCACCATTTGCTTCGACGTGGATGGACCTGGAGGGTATTATGCTGAGTGAAGTAAGTCAATCGGAGAAGGACAAACATTATATGGTCTCATTCATTTGGGGAATATAAAAATTAGTGAAAGGGAATAAAGGGAAAGGAGAGGAAATGAGTGAAAATATCAGTGAGGGTGACAAAACATGAGAGACTCCTAACTCTGGGAAACGAACAAGGGGTAGTGGAAGGGGAGGTGGGTGGGGGGTTGGGGTGACTGGGTGATGGGCACTGAGGGGGGCACTTGGTGGGATGAGCACTGGGTGTTATGCTGTATGTTGGCAAATTGAACTCCAATAAAAAGAAAGAAAAGAAAGAAAAGAAAAGAAAAGAAAAGAAAAGAAAAGAAAAGAAAAGAAAGAAAAGAAAAGAAAAGAAAAGAAAAGAACCACTTCTTGGGAAAAATACAAATTCAATTGCTTTCTAGTTTCTAGACTTTCTAGTGGATTTGCCTGCTCAGTATTTGTTCCTACTTCTTGTAGTCCAGTTCTGTATATGAGGGCAACTTGAGAGCTACATTTCCCACACTCTTTTGCAGCTAGGGTTCTAGGTATGATACAGATTCCACCAATCAGAGAGCAAAGTGGTGGGGGCAAGGCATCCATTTGGCTGGTACAATTCTAGCAGGTGCAATACATGGCTCTGGAACCAACAACTGCGGCTATGGACTCCTGATCATCAGATGTGGCTCAAATGATGTATTCCTGGAGCATGTAGCTGAGATAGTGAGAAACTGGCTTCATGGTTTCCTGGCTTCCTGATGGAGACGCAAGTGGCAGTTCCCTTAGCAGACTAGTTTTAAGTGGTGGTATTCCCATAATTATTCCTAGAGACCCAGCCTGCTCTGTCTCCTCTTCCGACAATTTTACAGGCACTTAATTGCCTGTATTAAATCCCTTACACTTACCATACATAGAAAAATCTCTGTTACATGCAAATAAACCCTGACTGATAGTCGTTAATTTTATTCCCCCCACCTTTTTAAATGTTTTATCATGGGAACTTTTAAACATATACACAAGTAGATAGAATGGAATAATGAACCCCCGTGAATCGACTTCAACAATTATCAATTCAGGCCAGTCTTACTGAAGTTTTACTCCCACCATCACAGAGAATTATTTTAAAGCAGATCTCGGACATCCTATCCCCTGTAAATGTTTCAGCACATATCTCTGAAGGAAAACTTTTATAAAACAATACCAGCAGATCACTATCAAGCCTAAAAAAATGACAAGAATTCCTTCGTATCAATAATGTCCAGTCACATACACTTAATTTTAAAATTGTTATGAATCACTATTGGTTTTTTATTCTGTGAAACTAATTAGATTAAACCTCTCCTAGCTCAACTGCTGAGAATCAATTGTGGTAGTTAGGTCAGTAGTTTTGAGAAAGCATGAGGCCTAAGGCCAAAGATGCTCCTATTCTTCCCGCCATCTCTTCCCATAACTGAGCCGGTTTACCCATTTGAGATCTTTGGATCATCTGACTCTTAGATGGTAAAAATATGAATCTATGAACTGCTTTTCTGTTTCTCAAAAGGCCTCAAAGAGGCCAAAGAGGTTGACTAAAATGTCAAGTATTCTTGCTTTGGGCTAGAGTGCATTAACTTGGTGTGATGAGCCTAAATTCTGACCAGCAATTTTATATTTCTTTGAGTAATAAAACCAGGACATAAACTGATATATTAAAGTTTTAGGCAAAACTCATTAAACAGTATACTTACAATCTGAATATTGCATCGCATATAAATTATACTTCAATTAAAAGCTTAGTGTATAGAAATACAATGGACTTCTGTGCACTGATTTTATATCCTGTGACTGCTGAATTTCTGTATCAGTTCTAGCAATGTTAGGGTGGAGTCTTATGGGTTTTCTACATAAAGTATCACATGTCATCTCTGAAGAGTGAAAGTTTGACTACTTCTTTGCCAATTTGGATGACTTTCATTTCTTTTTGTTGTCTGATTGCTGAGGCCAGGACTTCCAGTACTGTGTTGAACAACAGTGGTGACAGTGGACATCCCTGTCGTGTTCCTGATCTTAGGGGAAAGGCTCTCAGTTTTTCCCTACTGAGGATAATATTCACTGTGGGTTTTTCCTATATGGCTTTTATGATATTGATGTATATTCCCTCTATCCCTACACTGCAGAGTTTTCATCAGGAAAGGATCCTGTATTTTGTCAAATCCTTTTTCTGCATCTATTGAGCAGATCATATGGTTCTTATCCTTTCTTTTATTAATGTGGTGTATCACAATGACTGATTTGCCGATGTTGGACCACCCTTGTGGCCAAGGAACGAACCCTACTTGGTCATAGTGAATGATCCTTTTAATGTACTGTTGGAGGATCCCTGGGTGGCTTAGCAGTTTAGCACCTGCCTTTGGCCAGAGGCGTGATCCTGGAATCCCAGGATCGAGTCCCACATCACGTTCCCTGCTTGGGGCCTGCTTCTGCCTCTGCCTGTCTCTGCCTCTCTCTCTCTCTCTTTCTCTGAGTGTATGTGTGTCTCTCATGAATAAATAAATAAAATCTTTTTAAAAATGTACTGTTGGACCCAATTAACTAGTATCTTTGTGAGAGTTTTTGCATCCATGTTCATCAGGGATATCGGTCTGTAATTCTTTTTGGTGGGGTCTCTGGTTTGGGGATCAAGGTAATCCTGGCCTCATAGAATGCGTTTGGAAGTTTTCCTTCCATTTCTATTTTTTGAAACAGCTTCAGAAGAATAGGTATTCATTCTTCTTTAAATGTTTGGTAGAAGTCCCCTGGGAAGCCACCTGACTTCTGTCTGTTGGGAGATTTTTGATTACTGCTTTGATTTCTTTAGGGCTTATGGGTCTGTTCAGGTTTCCTATTTCTTCCTGTTTCCGTTTTGGTAGTTTTTTTTTTTCTAAAGATTTTATTTATTTATTCATGAGACACAGAGAGAGAGAGCCTGCGTGGAGCCTGACGTGGGACTCGATCCCGGGTCTCCAGGATCATGCCCTGGGCTGAAGGTGGCACTAAACCGCTGAGCCACCAGGGCTGCCCAAGTTTTGGTAGTTTATATGTTTCTAGGAATGCATCTATTTCTTCCAGATTGCCTAATCTGTTGGCATATAATTACTCATAAGATTCTCTTATAATTGCTTTTATTTCTGCAACGTTGGTTGTGAACTCTCCTCTTTCATTCATGATTTTATTTATTTGGGTCCTTTCTCTTTTCTTTTGGTAACTCTGTCTAGGGGTTCACTGATCTTACTAATTCTTTCAAAGAACCAGCTCCTAATTTCATTGACCTGTTCTACTATTTTTTTTATTTTTATATCATTGAT